ATACTTGACTAGAACGAAATCCCCTGGTTTTCTTGGCACAACCGAAGCTTCAGAAGGATCTTCTTTATTATTGGAGTTAGGAACTTGATCAACTGTTTCAAACGAACAAATACCAGTTTCTGCAACTTCCAAAGTTATTGATCCGTTTGGTTTTAAGAACGGAACCAGATTGTTTTCGGGATCACTTATTTCCAATTCTGTCTCGAGACTCTGTTTCAGTAGGTATTTCTTCTCCAAAATCTTCATCAGATGATGATAACAATTCAAACTTCGATTTTTTCTTTTAATTCTCTTTTGTCTTCTTTGGTTGTTTATTCTTGGCTTTCTGTTCCTTTTTTGTTTTTTGTTGGTTTTCTTTGTTTTCTTTCATAGCTTTCTTTTGCTTTTCGGCGTCCTCCTTGTCTTTCAAAATTTTCATACACTCCTGAGATGTAATGACTTTTGACCCTAAACAAACTTTGGTTTTCTTAGCTGGCGGACCTCTCTGATTATGGGATGAAATAGTAAATAGTAGCAATTTTTCGAAAGTATTGAGAGAGTTCTGCACCTGCTCTAGGTTGCTTCCCGATGAGGTAGCGTCATGAATTTCGACGGCTTTAACATGGTCATTTTTGTCTTTTTCAAAACCTGCAACCATATTAGTTTTAGGTGGTAAGAGATGATCAATTTCGGATGCTTCAACTTTGTCCAGTTCGGGTGCTGCAACTTGGTCCAGTTCGGGTGCTGCAACTTGGTCCAGTTCGGGTGCTGCCATTTGATCAGTTTCGAGCTGCAATGATTTCCATCGTTCCAAAGATAGTTGGTCAAAATTTTTTTCAAGAATGATATGTTTATTAAACGGAAAGATGCCAGCTTTCCTGAATCCATTTTTAATAATGTCCGTATCGAAGTTTTTCCATAGTTCTCCTATTTTTATCGTCATTGATCGTTTATAAATTTTCTGACAGCTTTGTTGTCTCAACCTTTTGCAGAGATACTCATCCCACGATGATTTAATGGACTTGAAAACTGCCAGATCGAGGGGCTGAAGTAAATGGCTTGAATGAGGAGGCAGTAAAATAATTGTCACGTGGTTTTTCGCAGCCAATTCCATTAATTTTAAACCAATGTGAGTTGCATGGCCGTCGTAGATGAGAAGAACGGCATTACTAGGAGACGGCTTTGTTGCTTTTACAAAGGAATGTTCAAAATAATTCAGGAATACAGAAGACTCCATCAAGCCATTTTGAGTAGCGGCAAATGTTGAATCGGGAAATCCTTCATTTTCGTTAGGAACCCATTAGTTCCAAACGTTTTTTCCTTGAAAATAAACAATGGAGGACACTTGTCTCCAGTTGCACTACAAGCCAGTAGGACAGGGGTGTTTTCTCTGGCCACTAACAGTTCTTGTAGCAGGCAGTCCTTTTCCTCCTACTATTTTAGTTTTAGACGGATCGTGACTAAATGCCGATTCATCAAGGTTCCAAACATTTTTTGATTCAATATTGAGTTCTTCCAAAGTTAGTTTTAGATGGTCAAAATAATTGAATATGAGAAAAGGATCTTGAGCTTTTTTTCGGGCAACTTCCACATTTTGCGGTGTTTTAATGCTTAAGCGTTGTCTTTTTTTAAAACCTGACCACCACTCTTCTCCAGGAAGTTATTCTTGAACGGGTTTGGGATCTTTTCTTTAATTATGTAATCGCTCACCAGTTGTTGACAAGCCGTAGCCGTATTTTTCTATTAGTTTAATAAGTCTACCCAATTGATCTTCAGTTTCTGAAGATAAAGCTGTCGGTCTCCTAAATGTTTTTGACTTCACATCCCTTCTGTTTTTGACATGGTCAGTTATGGTAGCTTTTGGAATAGAATATCTTTCTGAAGCCTCTTTCAATGTCAGTCTTTTAGATTTTAAGCTATCAACTGCATTTTGAAGGTCTTGAGGGGTATAACTTTGGCCTTTCGTTTTTCTTTTGTAATTGCGCACCATTTTGGCTCTAAAAATCAAAAAAAGCACTTTCATAAAAAAATTTAAAAAAAGCGCCAAAATTAGACAAAGGGGGAAGTGCATACGCGTCTGCACTTTCCCCATGGTGTAAAAACTCACTTGCCTCTTAACCTATGTTGGAGGAGAAATAGCATATTTGCTAATTTTATGCCTAATATGATTAAACATTGTGAAAACAATATCAAAAATTAAAAACTTGATTTAAAATTAAGCTGCTTACCATATTTTGAAAAACAAAAATTCACTTTAGAATGGAAAAAAAAGTACAATAAACGGAGCACCACATATGTGTAGAATGAGATCTAAATTGAGACTGTTTTGACAGATGCACAAAGCTTGGTCACGTGAGACGTAGTGTAGCCAAACTAATTATCACACTAAAAGAAAGTATCCAAGGAACACACAAAAGTACCCATTGCTGCATAAAATGAACCGTTATTATTATCAGAGCAGGAAAATGCACTTTCCCCGAATACGCACTTCCCCGAGTTGACCTTACCTGTAAATGGGTTGAATGTAGACAATGTCAATGTTTTTGCTACTACTGCTGGCTAGGAGTGCTGGGTTGGAACACAAAGCAGTAGACAAGTTTCTATCACTTATACTCTTACAATTTACAACCATTCAAGTAACTGGCATGTTGTAAATACTTCACGAAAACATATTAAACCTAAATTAGTCGAATGCAATGTATTTTCTTTTAATAACACGCCTTTTTACCTTGATTGCTCTATTTATTCCAATGTCCTCAAATAAAACGAGTTATAATACGTAACAATAAGGATAAAACACACTAAAGTGTGTTTGTGGTATTTTTGATCTGAATCCATTATCAAAATAACAAATTTTCCGTTTTTAAGCTGTGAATGTATTACAAAAACTACTTCGATAAAATGTAAACAAAAGTTTGTAGTTTGTGTACGAAATATGGGTTGCCTGCGCTTGGTAGCGAGTTTTTAACCATAATAGATTATATCCCGAAAACAGCGCAATAAAAGTTGTGCGTCTTTTTCCCGCCCAGGGAGTGTCATTATTGCTAGAATACCTATGCTGGTATTTTAATGAAATTCAGTGATAGGTAAACGTAAGCTAACTAAACTGTTTTAATTATTAAATTCAATGAGAGGTTGTTCGAGTTCCTTAAGACAAAACCTAAAGTTTTGAAAGCTTTATTTCACGAGCGGTATGAGGAACAAATGATAAAGCAGCTCTAAAACTTTTATCTTATTAACATGTTTAAGAGTTGAATCTGCCATTGAATAATCAAATACAATAGATTCTTTCGTTCTTCCCACTGGTGTAGGAATGAATTACACCAACAGACACTAAACCTTTCGTTTAAGGTGTAAAATCCACTACACCTTCCTGTCGGCGATGTGGTGTCCACTGGTGGATATTTTCTCCACCAGCTATTTAGCAGGAATGAATTATACTCGACATGTATATAAGGAAGAAAGAGGAAGTAAATAAGGTAGTATAGACACTGGTGTACATTGCACCAACACCGAACGAATGAACCTAATCTTGTCATGTTATAGATATATAACCAATACAGATATGATTGTTTCTGAAGCCAACATCTAAGCGTCCTTGGCAGAAATGCAATTTTCTGATTGAACATTGCAGCCAAGTTTACGGAATTCTTAACAGTAGCTATACATATATGAAATGTGAAATCTAACAACAGCACAGTAAGAAAATCGATATTTGTAGTAGTTGTAAATCTGGTTATTTATTCATTATTTTACAGATTTAACTCAGACTTGTTCATAGGTTCATCGCATAAGCATACACAAATTTAAATACCAAAAATGTATTTACAGTAAATTATTTGTAGATTTATATTTAACGATTTACTTTAAAACTGTTAGATTAACTATAATAATTGTAAATAAGCTGGCGTATTAATCGGAAAATGCCTTTTTAATAATTTTTTTTATTATTGAAAATGTATCTTTGTTCTTTTATATAGCAATATGTCAGTTTCATTTTTCTTTACGAAAACTTAATTTGATCAAATATAAAAATATCACAAAGAAATAAAATCTACGTAAATATGTATTTTCAACATAATATAATAGTATCAAGTGTTAGACACTGGAATTCGCCTTTTTGGGGATAATTTCATAATAAAACTGTAAAGACGCACTTTACTAAAGGAATGTTTTATTTAAAATTCACGTTAGAATTTCTTTAAAAGAGGTCATAAAGGTTTCTTGACTTCACAAAAAAATACACTAGTTTGGGATGTAAAACGTAATTGCAAAACACTCGTTGATAATAATTGACATACAGTTCTTCACAGACCAGTCATATAGTGCATTAACATCAGTTTATAAAAGTTAGCAATCATTGACACTATTAATGAGCATTTAATATTTAGGTCATCTAAAAATAGAAGAATATTATATTTTGAAAATATCCAATACCATTGACATATAGTACAAACAATAATGGTCTTAAATGGGAACCCTGTGGAACCCCTGAGGGTGTTATATTGGATGGACAGACTACCATAAATCCTCATCATTTGAACTTTTTTTAAATAGCTTTCAATCCAAGTCAGAAAAGCATCGGAAAGGTTGTTTTTTAATTTAAATAGGAATAAAGTGTAATCAACACAGTCAAAGGCTTTACTAAAATTAGAACATATTGTTGTCAACTTGCATATTTTCAAAAAAATTAGAAAGATTGGTAACTGTACTACCCACAGTAAAACCGAGTTGTTGATTAAAAATGATATTACTGCAAAGGACAGATGAAAAGTTTTTCAAAAAGCTTTGATAACATACTGATAGGCCTGTACTTCTGTATATCACACCTATCACCAGTTTTAAATACAGGAACAACAAAACTCCATAATGTGGGAAAGTATTTTAATTCTAATAATTGTTGAAATACAATATGAACAGGGCGATTTAGATTTGATTATGCCATTTAATCAAAAACCGCATGCATTAATATGTAAATAGTCAGAAACTTATTTTTAACAGTTTTATTATTATGTATTAAGGTTTATGAAGAATCAACATCGAACGAAATAAATGAAGAACACGGTTCATCATCTGATGAACAAAATATGGTGACTGCCAGTATGTGGACCAGAGCAGAATTAGCTGCTTTTAAACAGAGCGTATCTAAAGGAGAAGGTGATGGTGTAGTAAGGGTGGGACATGGAGAAACAGTTACTGTGCGAGTTCCTACTCATCCCAATGGATCGAGACTCTTTTGGGAGTTCGCAACTGACCATTATGATATCGGTAAGAAATATTTCAATCATATATTTTTTTAATTCTTCAGATATAATTTTTTTTGAGACTATGGTTTAAATTTAATAGCATTACATTTCTAGTTTGATATATAACAACATCGCCATTCAAATTTTTCAGATGTGTTATACAACTCAAAGTTCCTCACGCTGAGCTTCGCAACTTTTACAATGTAAATGCAGTAGTGTTTTATTGTAATTAATTTCCTATTTCATATATCTGAATCCAATGTACCAATCCAATTTTCGCGGCTCATCAAGACAACGGTGCATTGTTGTTGTTGGAAGTTCTTCAGAACCCCTGTCATACAGTAGCTCACTGGAGATGCCGTTTCAAAAAGAAATGATGATTTGTCACTCAATTCTGCATTGACAAACACTAGGGGTTCTGAGCCGACGAGCGACACTACTGATCCTAAATTTTGTTCAAACGGTTTGATATGTTTTTCTGAAGTCAACATTAACAAACAAATGTGTAATAATAATAATGGAATTTCATGTAACTTTAACAATATTGTCATTTAAGAAAAGTCAACCACGTTGAAATTCATTGTACCATCGCTTTACGGTAGCGAAGGAACACGGCTCCTCACCAAGCACTCGATTGTTTTCCTCAAAACATTCTTTACGGTTTAAGCCACGCTTGAAATTGTAAAAAATCACAGCCCGATATTGCTCCTTATCCAAGCAATCAGGTATATTTGACAATTGTCACTAACTAAACTTATAAATAACTAGTTTGAAATGTCAGACAAAATTTGTTACAAAAATATCACCGCCTACTAGATAGGCTCAGAAAGAGAACATCTCTCGTATCTTGTTATAATTTTTAAGAGACAAACCATTGCTGGAGGATTCTTTTGACATATATTTTTGATATGATATGAAACAATTGTATATTTTGCAGGTTTTGGTGTATATTTCGAATTCGGCACGCCGACCACTGAAGAAGTGTCCGTCCACGTGTCTGAAAGCACCGACGAGGAGGAGATGGACGAACTGGACGATGACGAAATAGACGAAGAATTGATTCATCACACCAAAGACCTCGAATTGGGAGTCAACGTCTCCAAGCCCCTCTTGCATGAGATCGTTCCCGTTTATAGACGGGACTGCCAGAACGAGGTGTACGCCGGTTCTCATCCCTATCCTGGCAAGGGGGTGTACTTATTAAAGTTCGACAATTCTTATTCACTGTGGCGATCCAAAACGTTGTATTATAGGGTTTATTACACTCATTAGCTTGTAAATATCGTTTTTATATAATAAATATATTATCTTTTGTGAGTTTTATTTACGTTTAAGTTTGAAATTTGCTTTGAAAGGTGCTACCTATAAATATATTCCAATTTTTAATCGTTTTTAAGTCAGTTTTATATTTTCCCCCACATACTCCATACCCCAAAAAATTTTAAAATATATACACGCAGTATTAAGAGATATATACGAGCCCAGAATCATATCATTTGGCCCATTCAATATTATATTTTTTTATTTTACTTTATACAACATTGGTAAATATAAAAGAAAAATCTATTAAATCGAACTATTTTTATTATAATTTGAGACATGTTTATCAACATTTTTTATTAAAATTAATATTAGAAAATTAAAGATATGCCTAAAATAAAATTAAAAATATAACATTGAATGGGCCAAATGATATGAATCTGGGCTGGTATATGTTATAATATGCAACATGTCCTTTTCATACTATACACACATGCTATACATATGTCGAATCATATAATAAAACACCATAATTGTGCTCGGAAGGTTATAATGTCTTGGACATCGGAATCCTATGGTCTAGGATTGGATTTCCAACGACGCTGGTCGGGAATTTTTCTAATTATTTCTAAAACGGGTAGGATTCACCGTTTGATGATAATTAAAAATGCTGTTCCTAAAATGAAATTGAAGATCATTAGCAAAACTAAGGCTAAAAAAATTGTCTCTTGCAAACAATGACAGTATTTAAGCAATCCAATAGAAATAATAGTCATCAAAAATTATTTATTCTATGGTGAATGCAGTGGTGCACTCAAAGGGTTACTTGGATGTTAATAATTGCAATTTCTTTCTGTACTCAAACTTGACTACACTTGTTCAAAAGCGCATCCTGCATATATAAACTGCTAGCCACTCGTACTTACACATAGAGATTTGTAGGCAAAATTGAAAGTTCAACATTTTATCAGGAATGCAAATTTTTGAACGCGGCTTGCAGATTTTAAGAGCTAGTTTTTTTTTTGGAATAATCTGCATGTCGTATATATATCGTAGGACCATAGGTTTATTATATACGGGGTGATCAATGAAGTCATGCAAAAAATCAAAAAGTTAATACAAGTGAAATTTCTGCAAAAAATGTTTTTGGTCGTTGCAAATATGGTTCGTTACTAATAGTATGAGAGCCTACTGCAAATTTCGACCGTCATCTGATAACGAAATGAAATATGCTTCAAAGGCATGTAACAACATTGTACTTTACCAAATTGCACCTGTGCCAATCCCTATCATGAGCAAAGTTGTTAAAAAAAATTATTTTATATTAAAAAAATCACATAAGACATGACAGCGACAATTGCGTTTTCCCTGAATATTACAATCCTAATTCACTGTGAACCTAGCTTTTAAACCTGAATAACTACTATTTTTACCTACCTTTTAAACCATGTTTATGTATGAAAGGAAGAAGGATTGCATTGTATACATTTGCAGAGATAGTCAATAATAATTATAAACTCTTGTTAGACAATTATTTTAAACCATAATCATAGTAGTTTTTTTGTCGTTTCTATGGCAACCTGTAAAAATGAATCACAACAATAGGCACACAAATAAATTTTTAAATCAGCAAACATTGAATCATATTTTTAATGATTTTTACCTACTAATCGTGGATAGATGTTTTTGTTCGATGTTAAAAGGAAGGAAATGTTTCTCTTTAACGATATATATCAAGATATATTTGAATGTTATTTTCAGGAAAACTTTAAGGGCAAACAAAATTGGCGCTGTCATGCCTTATGTGATTTTTTTAATATAAAATAATTTTTTTAAGCCACTTTGCTTAGGATTGGGATTGGGACAGGTGCCATTTGGTAAAGTACAATGTTTTTCCATGTTTTTGGGGTATATTTCATTTCGTTATCAGATGACGGTAAAAGTTTGCAGTGGGCTATAAGGTAACATCAATATCTCTAGATATTTTTGAATTAAGCCTTAGGTCTTCTACACACTACCAAAAATAAAATTTGGGTAGTAAAATTTTTAAAATGCTATAATTTGACATTGGATTGACGGTTCTTGATGATTTTTGCGGATTTGGAATCCTTATTTCACGTAGATTTTCTATGGCCTAAGCATTTTATTTGAGGGTTGAAATTTACAAATTATACCGGGTCGATAATAGACAAAAACGTAGCGTATGACGCGCTCTAAGGTTTGGCATTATTTAAGTTTTTGTAAAAATAAATTCTCACCTCAAGTTGTTTTTATTTAATCATTGTTCTGTCAAAAACTCTCACCCTAGTTTGTTGTCTCAAAGAGTCAAGGCCGAATGTTGGTTTGGAGAGGGCCAAATTAGCGGTATTTGGAGGAAAATATGGCCCCTCAAGAAGCAACCGTTAACGCTACTGTTTATGAGGAGGAAATTTTGGAACCTATTGTTGTTTCCTTTTGCTCCAAATTACGGCCAAGAATTTCTATTGATGGATGACAACGCTGGACCTCAAAGGGCGCGAAGGATCACAGAGTTTTTGCAAGCACAGAATAACATCAATAGGATGAACTGGCCTGCAAAGTATCTGCATCTTAATGTCATCGAACACGTTTGGTCTTATTTAAAACTTAAAGTAAGATCGCGTGATGTGTACTCCTTAGAAACGCTTAATGAGGCCATTCGTGAAGAATGGGAGAATATTCCACAAGATTTTATAAATAATTAATCTTGTGAATACTCTACCAAATCGATGTCGAGCAGGAGGACCAACAAAATATTAGTTTCTCTTTTTCTTATTTAATATGCCTACTTAATTTCGGGAAAATTATTACCAAAAATTAGGTATTTTTGGCATTTTTCCATTGATATTTGCCGGTTGCTTTCAATGACCTCGTCCTTTTAACACGCCGATGCCAACAATAACCCAATTTTATTGTAAACTCCGAAAATGCAAGGGTGCAATTCTCATCTTAGACACAGTGGGTTCAAAACAAAAATTAATGGACAGACAATTTATGTTTTTCGAGCTATTATTTTTTATTTATTAAAAATTACCAATTACGACTAGGTATCTATCGCCATACCTAATCTTTGTTATTATACCGTGTTTTTTTAGGGATTGCAGGAACCTTTAAATTAGGTTTAGAATTAGAAATTTTGTAAGAATTGACTTTTAGCCGTTGTCAAGCAATCTTGTATATTGAAGAATATAATGTAATAAACTTGTTCTTGTCACTAGGTTTTTGTCTATTATCCACCCGGTATAATTCGTAAATTTCAACTCTCAAATAAAATGTTTAGACCACACAAATAAGGATTCCAAATCCGTAAAAACCGTCAATCCAATCTCAAGTTGTAGCATTTTAAACATTTTGTTACCCAAATTTTATATTTAGTAGTGTGTACAAGACCTAAGGGCCTTAATCCAAAAACGTTTAGAGATATTGATATTACCTTAGTAACGAACCATATTGCAACGAACAAAAAAAATTTTAGTGGCAATTTCCCAGACAACACACCAAATCCCAGAGATATCCACAGAATATCTTTTGTGGATATCCAATATATCCACAGGATATCAGAAATATTCCGTGGATCTTATATGGATATTCAAATGTCCGTCTATATCCAGAATATAGAAGATATCATATGGATATCCAGCAAAATATCTAATGAGTATCTTCCATAGACAATACAAGAAATCCCAGAGATATCCACAGAATATATTCTGTGATATCCAATATGGATATCCAACCAAATGTCCGTCTATATCCCAGGATATAGAAGAATTCGGATATTCAGCAAAATATTTTATAGGTATCTTTAGTAGAGTTCATAAGTAACCAATGTTTATTGAATAAAGTCGAAAGAAAATAGCAGAGATAAAAAATATTTTCAACACTCAAAATATTTTCAACACTGCCTTTGATTTTGCCCACTAAGGAGAAAGTTATCCTTATTAGGACTCTTCATAGCAATAAATGGAAATTCTCGACTCCAGTCTCTAATGGAGACTGATTGTGCCAGTGGGAAATTCTTGTATATCTAAGGGGGTAGCGACATAGTCTTGCAACTTGGACGCTATTTTTATTCGAAGTAGTAGTCGCCAAGCCTGCCAATTTATGAAGAAATGTATAAGTAGGTTTTTTAAATATTATTTTTATTGTGTTTGACATAAAATATTTAAATGTAATCCATTATTCATGATTTTACGTAAAGTAGATAGAATACACCGTATGTCGCCACCCTTAGATATACCAAACCTTCCCACTGGCAATTCATTTGTTTGGAATGCCTAATGTAAAAATTTTTCAATTTTTCTAAAGGCTCGTATATAATTTATAAGGGGGTTGCGACATAGCCTTCCATCTTAGACGCTATTTCGGTCTCCTCATCCCCGTTTCTAAGGACGCATTCACCGAATAAAGCGAGTTGACCAAATATTCTACTTATGAGTTCGCACATTAATTATTTAAAAAAATCTAAATATTATTGTTATTTAGTGGTTTTTATTTTTTGGAGTATTTTCTAGTGCTAGAGTTTTTATAATTTCAGTAGTTTGATTTTTCGAGAGACTTTTCGAGAAATATTATTGTGTGAATGGGTTATTTTAAACATTTTTCTATAGGTCTACACTCATTGCCAACGATAATACTGAAAAATTTAAATTTTATACTTTTCCTCCAATTTTTCCATTACGGTCCATTTTAGAGAAATTGTGTAAAATCCAAAAATTATAGAGATCGATATCGCAAACATCTTCTAGTTTAACAATTTTCTTAAAAATCAGATTTTTTTACATTTTGAAAAATTTCTCGAATACGGACCATTTTAGGAAAATTTTGTATAGAACAAAAATTATAGAGAATATATAATATAAGTAATTTTTAACCGACTTCAAAAAAGGAGAAGGTTCTCAATTCGTCGCGATATTTTTTTTATGTATGTTCAGCGATAATTTTTTAACACGGTGTTCGATTTCAATAATTATTTTGTTAGAAAGGGACTACTTCAGGGGTGGTCCCATATAAATTTGGTCAAAATCTAATAATTGGGTCCATGACAAAATCCTCAAACTCTTCATTTTTTATGTATGTTTAGCGATAATGGTTTACCACCTTGACCGATTTATAT